TAAGTTAGTAAACAAGTTGGGCTTGATTTATTAGATTATGTCTGTTGGGCTTGCTTAGGGTATTGATGGTCTGCTAGTGGAAACTGGGGAATAGTGGTGTGGGTTAGTGGCGAGGGGATTTGACGTGGCAAAGGGAAAATGAATGGTAGAGGAAGAAGGAAGGGTGTGCATTGTCATTAATTAACCCCTCCCAATTCCAAATATGAAAACATCAATCCAAAAACCGACTTTAAAGAAAGAAAAAAAATTTCATTAAATAGCAAAATTCCAATACATGTAACATACCCCACTTATACTAATTAGTATAGTGAACACAAAAGAGGGAAAGGTCGATTCTCAATCAAATCCATCCGACGAATATTAACCAATCTGACCCGCAATGGGCTGGTATTATCCGAACCGTAGTAGTGTAGGCGGGATATGGGGTAACTATAATTTTTATTGTTTACATTTTGGTATCTAAAATTTTATTTTTTATACAAAAATATCATTGAAAATTTACATTTTGGTACCTAAAAATTTTCATTATGATATTTTAGTAACTAAACTTTTCACATTTTACATATTAATACAAGGTCGAGGATGTCATTTAAATTCATGGATAATCCAACAATTCACTTGATCGATGGATCCACCAATCCAAAAATCCAATTCATTTGCCACCTCTAGGTATAACAGTATAACCATCACATCAGTGACATGTGTCACTTCTATACATCACAGAAACGCTTGGAAATTTAGTTATTTAAGATTGAGTGGAAATTATTCACACACAAAAAATTTAATTACCCCTCTTCCTCAAATTGGGATCTTTATATAAATAATAATAATTATTATAAAAGATTCTAGAGAGAGAAAATAGGATACAGAGGGTAGGTGTGAGATTTTTTACGGAATGGGATTAGGTGCTAACCCTTATAGGAGTTAGCACCGTGATAACTAGCAAAAAACGCTACTAAAAACAACGAAATCACTACGAATTATTATAAAATCAATACAACATCTAAGATAAATCACTACTAACTCTTGGTTAGGACGGTGCTAACTCTTGTACAATTAGCAACGTAACTCCTCCCATTTTTTACCGGACCAACCTCTCTAACTCCTACGCAAGTAGCAGCCAGGCAGTTGCACAGATGATAATAATGAGTGATTATTGCATACACCCGGAGTACCACATAAGAATTATTACGTGGTACTCCGGCTAATACCATAACGCCATCTGTTTATTAATTAATTAATTAATTAATCCTCATCCCAAGAAAGAGAAAATTCAACCGGCTCACGATCCCCATAGCCCATCGTCCCTTGCAGCTTGCACCGACGACAATCCTCCCAGGAGAAAGTCACCACTCCCCAGCAGGCCGATTCTTTCTCCACGCCGGGTCGTTCTCGTCAACGCTATCGAGGTATATCCCGACAAAGATTTATCGCCAATTAGAAATCAAAACACCTCGCCAATAAGGAACCGCCATAGAGATCGACAGTTCTGTTAACGATGAAGATCCCATTTCCTAATCGCAACCGAAATCTAGGGCGAGGGTTATTTTTCCCCTTTTTCCTTATGATAGAGAGAAAGATCCCAGTCTATACAAAGTTACAAACTAGATAAAGACATGGATGGGTTCTGGAGAAGGATAATCTTCTTTCCTACTTGAATAAATAGAAAAAAAAACTCTCGATTAATATAGGTAGGGAGTAGGGACAAGTTGCAGGGGAAGGGTAGGGGATGAATACGCAGGGTAATATTACCGTCAGCCCAAACGGCGGTGGGGAGAGTGAGAGGAATGGATTTTCTATTTCTTAATATTGTTGTTGGTGCAAGCGGCGGTGAGGAGAGTGAGCGAATGAGATTTTCTCTTTCCTGGTCCAAGAATTAATTTTTAGAAATTTTAAAAAATAAATAAACAGGTGGCATTATGATATTGGCCGGGAATACCACGTCACAAATCCTACGTGGTATCGGGTGTATTCAATAAAACCTCGATAATTTTTTGGTTAAACTTTCATTATTGGGGGAGATAGAATGAGTAATTACTGTGATCTACAAAATATATAAAGGCAAAACATGAGTTGAAATTGTCCATTTCAATTTTGTGGCATGAGAGTGATTTTAGGAAGGTCAATTTCGTCATTGCACACAAATTCTCTTTAAATATTTAAATTGTTATCATTGGAGTTCAAACTATGGTCACTTAATAAGTGAAGAAAGAGCATTATAACCAACTAGGCTACATCGTATTATTTTTATTTCTCTGATTAAAATCTAGAAATATGTTTGGTGATGATGCTTCTATATTTATGTTTTATCTTAAGTTATTTATCGAAACTCAAGTAACATTGATTCAAACATTAATATTAAATTATAAGCACAGTTTAGTTTAGACAAAATACAAATGTATATTTTACTCTCTATAATAATTAATTTAATCTTAATGTGACATTTGAAATATTTTATATATGATTTAGAGGTATACTTATTATTTGTGGCATAACTGGTAGTTGGTTCATATGTAGTATTACATCAGGTAGTCAAAATTTAATATTGGGTGCATTTATGATTGTTTTTTTATTTATTTTGGTGGTGTTAATAGATATAAACTTAATTACTAGAATGAATATATTATATATGATATAACTATACATAGGCACATGGTCAAGCTAGCACGATGATTCGAATTCATTTGTAAACTTTTTACCCTCTATTTGCTTAGTCGTTTGAAGCATTTTTACTTCGGGAGGTTTGGTTTTACGCCGAGTTTTGCCTTGTTTTGGAGTTTTTCAGACTTTGGCAGGTGGAACCAACACCGGAGTCGAAAGTTGGACGAAAGGGCAAAAATCAATTCGAAGGGTGGAAGCAGCAGCAGATCACGGTTTGGGTTGTGAGTTCACGGTCACTAAGACCGTGGACTGGAGGCACTACCCGTGAACAGCCAGGTATCCAAAGCACAAATTTCTTTCAGTGGACACAAGCCAATTCATGGTCCGTACTTTTAGCTCACGGCCGTGAACTGGGACCGTGAACTGATCCTGATCTGGGTATATAAAGGAGGTTGAGCTGAAGGAGAAAGGGAGACTAGTGTTCGAAAACTTCTTCTTCTTCAGATTTCTAGAGTGAGAAAGTGACGAACCAAAGAAGAGGAGAAGTTAGGGTTTCATCGTGAAGCAAGGATTTGGGAATTCCACCCCCAAAGGAGGATCTCTTCAAAACAAGGAGCAAGGCTAGCATCTCTTTGATGGTTTCCCTTCTTCTCTCTTGTGTTTCCCTTCTCCTAGCATGGAGTAGTCCCTTCTTTCAGCTGGGTGTTTGTAAACCCTAGCTACAATTATGTGGATGTTTTTATGGATTGAATGATTTGTGTGTGGTGGTGTTTAATGTGAATGTGGAGGTATTATTCATGAATGATTGTGTTGTGTGAAAGCCTATCAATCTAATTGTCATTCTAACTTAGGTAGAGAGAAAATCCCCCTTCCTTTCTTTGAAAGAAGCTTGAATGCTGGTTTTCTGAGGTGATTCGTTTTTTTCCTATTTAGGTTAATGCAGGGAAAACCTCTTATTTCGTATTAGCACCTAGGGTTTGGGTGGGTGGGCGTCCGAACTCCTATTCGAGGGTGAAGTCTTGGCAACCCTTAGTCAATAGGTCGAGAGAATCACTTTGGTGGCCTGAATTGAATTCCCTTCCCTCGACCTTGAGACCTAGAGAGTGGCGTTTGGCTACTTGTTTCAATTCCCTATTATTTACAACCCCCTTACCACACACGATCATTCGATCCAACAAGTCGTAATTGTTAGCTACGGGGAGCAACAACTGGGTGAAGCCTTCTCAATTAGTGTCAAATCCATTTACTTTTGCAAACGTTTTATCTCTAGATTGTTGTTTACACCAAAAATCAACCGCTAGATAATGTTACAAACAATCGAAGTAGGGGTACATAAACCGGCCCGAGTCGATATATATTTAAGCATTCTTGCCCTATACTGCACCCAGTTAAGGTTTATACTTGGGCCTTAACTGGAAGTTTTATAGTGGTATTCGGGATGAGTCAAGTTTTTGGCGACGTTGCCGAGATCTCAGCGGTTCATTATTTTGAAAAGATTGTTTGGTGTTAATCTAGCTTTTAATTTTCAGTTTTGTGTGTGAATCTTGCTTGTGCTAGACGTGTTGTGGTTCTTTTGAGTGTGTGTAGGGAGGTGTATGACCCGGAGTAATCCGACAACTATGGCGCCACTAGACGAGGATCTCAACCGCACTCTCCGACACTTTGCTCGTGAGAGGGAACTAGCGGAGGCAAAAAGGAGGATAGAAGAGGAAGTTGTAGTTGAGGAAGGGGTTGATTCCGAAGAGGAAGGAAGTGAAGCCGAGATGGTGGCTAATCAACCCGCTCAAGGAGGAGCAACCAAGGACCATGGGCTATTACATGGCTCCAAGGCTGCCAGATATTCAACCCTCCATTCGACATCCACCCGTGGCCGCCAACAATTTTGAGATCAAGCCCGCCCTTGCCACCATGATTCAAAACAATGCCATGTTCTATTGTAATACCCTTACTTTATATTACAAAATGAAACAAAAAAAATACATCGAGTTTAAACATTTTCGGGCCCGAACTTTATATATATATATATTTTTTCAAACTTCAAACCATAATTTACATTTTCATCAGAGTCAAAACAGAAAACCGGGGAAGTCCTCTTTATTACAGAATCCACACAACATAAAACATTTAAGGAGTTCGGAGTCCTCCGCCCACCTCATGGCTTCCCTTCACGCTTGAGTCCTGATATCTACAATGCAGACCTTACTTCTGATTTTGATCTGAGGGAAAATGGTGACGAAGGATGAGTCGTCGCTCAGTGAATAAATTCTAAGCTCATATCGACATCAATACAAAAACAGTATTGGGCAGAAACACCCTAGCACATAACTGGACTTAAATTGTTTTATCACACTTTTCATTTTACTGAATCAATCAAGTTCACATGCTCACATTCCACAGTCAAAACACATAAAACAGATGACAGATAGAGGCATTTTGCTTATACAATTTCACTTTCAAACTTGCTAAATGATATACTCCTCGGGTAGTACAGTAATGGAAGGCTGCAGGATAACCATGTACAGCCATCAGATAACTGGAGTACCGCGGGACAAAACCCCATCCGGTACAAACAGGAGTGCACAAGGCATGAAACATGAGTGCTCGCACCAACAGGAGTATCGCGGGACACAACCCGGACCGATACAAAAACAGGAGTCGCCACGGGATTACCCCAGCCCGGCTAACTGAACAGAATAGGTGTACCGTGGGTCGTCACCCAATCGGCATGGTGCGGAGCACGAGCGCTCAAACAGGAGTATCGTGGGGGTTTACCCACATCGATACAAACAGGACACACTACTATACCGAGGTATCATAAAGCCTTTTTACTTATTCTTATGTATTCACCTCTTTCCATTAATAGTTCACTTAGACACTATAGGCTCAAAAGCATTCATAGTGATTTTGCACCCTCAGTCACCACAGAATGGAATGTAAGTTGAGGAGCTGACTCCGAGTTATTCAAGCAGAATAGGATTAGTAAGCCTAATGGCTGACTCCAAATCTAAACAGAAAGGACGGGTTCGCAAGTTTGAATACTTACTCATAATCCACACAATAAATCAACAAAATGTCTTTCCATATCCCATTCACAATTCATGCATTTCCAACTTCATACCAAATGCAGATAATGAATAAACACAAATAAGCCATATCACATAGCCATATCATTTCCCATAAATTCCCATATTATACCGGAGCCTCTTCATGACCCCGATATGTATTCGGGCCGCTTCATGACCCGAATACTGTGATTATGTTGAAGTAGATCTAAGATTAGAATCTACTCACAGTTTTATCTTCACTCGGCTATGCCCTTGCCTTTGGATGAGCCCCCGGCTTGATCCTAATCTTTATATACAAATTTTCCAGGTTATTCAAGCACCAAGACACGTATACAATCATCATAATCATGGTTGTATTCATGCATGTCGATAAGGGCACTAGGGAAGTCGCACAACCGCACACTTTACCTTGCTTCACCAATTTGGTCATTTATCCCTTGATACTTAACCAAATCGGTTGATTCGGGTTGCTACTGAAACTAGATTCATAGGGATACAACATATTCAAATTTCAGACCATTTGGATCAGCCGTTTGATCCCAGCAATCATTTTAACTTAACATTTCAAAATTGTCAACAACTTTCTTTTCACTTCAAAACCAACTCCTCTTCTTCTAACAATTGTTCCTGACCACTCCGACATCAAAACTACGCTATGAACGGTCAATACGAAGAAATACATATACTTAACATCATACCAAATTTCTAGAACGATCTAACGACGGATTCGCACAGGATCTTACCTCTAATTTACTGTCCTCCTACAGAAAAACAGTATCGCACCCCTTCTGTCCAGCGACTTTCCTCGATGAACTAGAGATGATATCGATGATCCCAACGGTCAAATTGTAGACAAAGAAAATCTCAGGACGATGCAACGACTTGATTGTCCGGAATCGTCCTTCTCACAGGCTGTCCTGCTGCTGGACGAAAATTGGCAGCACCCCCTTTGCTTCCTTCTTCTTCTTCTTCTTCTTCCTCTCCTTGATACACTTTTCTTTCTAGCTTCCACTCTTTGTTTCTGAAAGGGGGGTGGTGGTTTTTTAGTGGTGAACTCAAGTGGAAGAAAGAGATCTAGAGAGTGACGTTGGAAAGAGTGAGGGGAAGAGATGAGAATAAAATGAGATAAGAGGGATGGGGCAGATTTTTATCTCCCCAAAATCCCCCTTCAATCCTCCAACCATACATATCTTACACTTAGGTTCCCCAACTTTCCTTTCCTGACAGTTAAGTCCAAAACCCATCTATTCACTTACTTTTCGGTTCAAAAGACCAATTTTTGTAACCCAATCACAACCACGTAATTATAACGTAATAATAGTAAGAGGGTAGGGATGTTACATTTTCTCCCCTCTAAATAAAATTTCGTCCCGAAATTTACCTTGAAACAAGTAGGGGTATTGTGCTCTCATGCTTTCTTCCGTCTCCCACGTGGCTTCTTCTCCAGTGTGGCTTTTCCAAATTACTTTCACCATAGGAATACTTCGATTCCTAAGTTGTTTCACCTTTCGGTCCACGATCTCTTTTGGTTCCTCCACATAGCTTAGATCTTTCTGGACCTCAATCTCATCTGGTTCCAGTACATGAGACGGATTCGATCGGTATCTTCGAAGCAAACTCACATGGAAGACATTGTGAACTTGAGACAATTCTGGTTGTAAGGCAAGTCGATAGGCTACCCTACCTATCTTTTCCAGAATCTCATAAGGTCCAATATACCTCGGACTTAACTTACCCTTCTTCTGGAATCTCAAAAAACCTCTCCAAGGAGACACTTTCAAAAATACTTTCTCTCCACTCTGAAATTCCATCTCTCTTCGGTGGATATCAACATAGCTCTTTTGCCGGTTTTGTGTGGCCTTCAATCAGCCTCTGATCACTTTAATCTTATCCACTGTCATCTGAACGATTTCAGGTCCCTCCAATTGTCGTAACCCTTCCTCATCCCAGCACACTGGGGATCTGCATTTCCTTCCATACAGAGCTCATATGGAGCCATACCAATACTACTATGGTACTGGTTGTTATAAGCAAATTCAATCAGTGGCAAATGTTCATCCCAAGAAGCTTGGAAATCCAGTACACAAGCTCGCAACATTTCCTCAAGAGTGAGGATTGTTCGCCCGGATTGACCATCGATCTGGGGATGAAAAGCGGTTGAAAAGTTCAGACGAGTACCTAGTGCTTCTTGTAAACTCTTCCAGAATCGAGAAGTGAACCTCGGATCTCTGTCAGAGACGATGGATACTGGTACTCCATGTAGTCTCACTATTTCCTCCACATACCTTTTTGTCAGTAACTCTAGCGAACAACCCCATCTAATGGGTATAAAGTGAGCCGACTTTGTCAATCGGTCCACAATAACCCAAACGGCGTCGTTCTTCTTCTGAGTCCTAGGTAGACCATAGACAAAGTCCATGGTAATCTTTTCCCATTTCCATTCTGGAATGGATAGTGGTTGCAATTTCCCCACTGGGGCTTGATGTTCAGCCTTCACTTTCTGACATACCAGACACGTCAAGACATGTTCAGCCACTTCTTTCTTCTTCCTTGGCCACCAATAATTAGATCTCAACGAACGGTACATTTTTGTCGATCCAGGATGCATTGCATAAGGAGAGGAATGAGCTTCTTCCAAAATCTCCCTTCGCAATTCATCCACATTTGGAACACAAAGTCTTTCATTTAGTGTTAGCACGCCATCTCGAAGTGTGAATTTAGTTTCTTCCCCTTTACGACTCTTATCAATAATCTTCCTCAATTCAAGGTCTTGATCCTGCACTTTAATAATTCTTTCTCTCAGAATTGGTCGCACTTGTAAAGTGGCCAATAACCCTCCTGCGGAATTCATTTCCAATTCAACACTCATAGCTCTCAAAGAAATCAAATTTGCCATTAAACCAGTCTCCTCATTTCTAGTACGATGCTTGGTCTTTCGACTCAAAGCATCTGCCACAACATTTGCTTTGCCTGGATTGTATTCGATGGTACAGTCGTAATCTTTCAACAACTCTAACCACCTCCTTTGCCTAAGATTTAGCTCTTTTTGCTCCATCAAGTACTTGAGACTCTTATGATCAGTAAAGATCTGAAAAGTCTCAGCATACAAATAATGACGCCAAATCTTTAAAGCAAAGACCACAACCGCCAGTTCTAAATCATGAGTCGGATAAGATTTCTCATACGGTCGTAATTTCCTGGAAGCATAAGCAATTACTTTACCATGTTGCATGAGAAGACATCCTAACCCTTGATGCGAAGCATCACTGTATACCACATAACCTCTCGTTCCCGAGGGAAGGGCAAGAACCGGTGCAGTGGTTAACTTTCGCTTAAACTCTTCAAAACTGGATTGACATTTATTACCCCATATAAAAGATTGCTCTTTCCTCAGTAACTTTGTCAATGGTGCAGCAATCAGAGAAAACCCCTCAATGAACCTTCTGTAGTATCCGGCCATGCCAAGGAAACTTCTTAGTTCATGTATATTTTTCGGTGGCTCCCATTGTATCACTGCATCCACTTTCCTTGGATCCACCTCTATACCTCGCTCAGACACCACATGGCCCAAAAATACTACTTGATCCATCCAAAATTCACATTTGTTGAACTTAGCATACAACTGCTTTTCCCTTAGAATCTGCAGTACGATTCTCAAATGCTCCCTGTGCTCTTCTTCACTTCCAGAATACACTAGAATATCATCAATAAAGACGATCACGAACTTATCTAGATATTCCTGAAACACTTGGTTCATCGGTGCCATGAACACAGCTGGAGCATTTGTCAACCCGAAAGGCATAACAAGAAATTCGTAATGCCCATACCTAGTACGAAAAGCTGTCTTCGGTATGGACTCATCCGCTACCCTTAATTGATGATAACCTGATCTTAGATCGATCTTGGAAAAGACCCTCGATCCTTGTAGTTGGTCAAACAAATTATCAATCCGAGGTAACAGATATTTATTCTTAACTGTTAACTTATTGAGCTTCCGGTAGTCAATACACAGGCGAAAAGTTCCATCCTTCTTCTTCACGAATAATACCGAAGCGCCCCAAGGGGAGACACTAGGTCTAATAAACCCCTTATCTAGCAACCCTTGAAGTTGCTCCTTCAGTTCTTTCAGTTCTAACGGAGACATCTGGTACGGAGATATAGAGATGGGAGCAGTGCCCGGTATCAATTCAATAGTGAAATCTATTTCCCTTTCCGGAGGTAATCCTGGCAGTTCAGAAGGGAACACATCCAGGAACTCCTTCACAACCGGAACATTTTCAGATTTCAATTCCGGTTTGCCCTCAGTCACATAAGCCATATATACTTCACAACCTTCCTTCCTCAAACTCACCACCTTGGTGGCCGAGACTAGGCAACTAGGCACCACCTGTCTAGTCCCTCGAAATATCACATTCTGACCATCTGGTATTTCGAAAATTACTTCCTTGGTATAACAGTTCATTACGGCTTTATGTTGGCTTAACCAATCCATTCCCAGAATTATATCAAATTCAGTCAGCATTAACCTCAATAAGTTAGCTGACAGAATAGTTCCAGCTAGACTTATTGGGGCATCAGGATAGGCATATTCAATCACTACGGTATCTCCTACTGGGGTTTGAACTATTACATTCTTGTTCAACCTTTCAGAGTGCACAGGCAACCCACGTGAGAATGCAGAAGATATGAATGAATGAGTAGCACCAGGATCAATCAACGCATAAGCAGTAAGATCATAGATAAGAACCGTACCAGTAACGACCTCTGGAGAGATGTCAGCCTCCCTCCTAGCAAAAGCTCGTGGCTGCACTTCACCCCGACTGCTACTGAAACTAGATTCATAGGGATACAACATATTCAAATTTCAGACCATTTGGATCAGCCGTTTGATCCCAGCAATTATTTTAACTTAACATTTCAAAACTGTCAACAACTTTCTTTTCACTTCAAAACCAACTCCTCTTCTTCTAACAATTGTTCCTGACCACTCCGACATCAAAACTACGTTCTGAACGGTCAATACGAAGAAATACATATACTTAACATCATACCAAATTTCTAGAATGATCCAACGACGGATTC